AAAGAAAATATCACATCATTTTTATAGTAGAATAGGTAACACTAAACATAGTTTTTAAAATACTTAATTTAATAATTTCAACTTAATATTTTTAGAAAATATTAGTAAGATTTACTAAATGCGATCAACAGTCAATTCATTACTTTTCTTTTAAATAATTGACAGCGCCAATTATTTTTAATTCCACAAACAATTACAGTTTTTTTCCCATTTTATGTTTAATTACATAAGTTTTCTCGTTCATTTTTATAAATACTATTTTTTCAGAACGACGTTTGATTAAGGAAATTAACCTTTATTGATAAATTGATGATAAAATCGACAGTTTTTAAACTTACATTTAAAATTAAATTTTTAAATAAATTTTTAAATAAATTTTTGTACAATAATATTCTGTATACTAAATACCCTATTATAAAAATTTGTTTATAAATCAATTACACCTTAATTAGATTTTAATAAACTTAAATTTATAGCTTTCTACACATTTTAATATTAATTATATTTCATTTGATGATTTGCACTGAAAAATTACGAATTAAATACAAACATTTATTAATATACTTATACATAAATATTACAAATTTTATTACAGACATTTCTTAATACTTTTATAATTACAAAATTGTTTTAAAATTTAATAAAAAAAAAACTATCAACTAACACATTTTTTCTTTTTTGCATATAAAGTGGAATTTAATCAAATTTTAAATGTTAAAGCCAAGTCAGTAATTTCTATCTCTAATAAATAATTTTTTTTTTTAAATAAATAAAATTAATTAATAATGAAATTAATAAATTTTCTAGTTTTCGAGTTAAATAAATAAAATTTTGACATTCTACATTTACATTTTAATTAGATAAAAAGAATTTAATTTATTTAGTAAAGAATTTTCCATTTAGCTAAATAATCCAAGTAATAGGCACAAATCTACGTAGCATTTGCTGTCCAAATGTAGCAAACTATATTGGACACCCGTATTTCCTGTAGTATGGAGAGATGACGAAGCATTATGATGCGGTTTTGCAGCTTCTTGTCCATCATTTTATTAATTTTTCGTGATATATCGCCGGGAGTTATAAAATTTCGCCCTGTAATATATAAATTTCTTTGTGTAATATAATTTCAAAATAATATATATAGTGTATTAATAAAGAGCTCACCAGGCACATATGATGTCTGCTGTTTAAACAATTGCCACAATTGAAATTCATTCGGATTGCGTATATTTGCCTTTTTGCGATGCAGTAACTCATACTTTTCATTGAAACAAGGAATAATGACATTTTCCAAAAAATGCTTCAATTCTTCAAATGTTTCTCGACCACACATATATCTTAATTGATTTTAATAAATATAAAAATAAAATGTTCATAAGAATATTAAAAATTACAATAGATCATAATAAACAACATAATAATTCAGTATCTTGGTGGACGATAAAATTAGTTGTGGAGATTTCGAAATATTCTATCAAGTTCGTAAATAGTGGAACATTTACTATCTGGCAATGATGGATTTATCAAATGTTGTACGAATAAGAATAAATATTATACTTTCAACTTAGCGTTAAGACAAAGAAGCGATTCTAACCCCTCAAGTACGATATATATAACCTAATACCTTTACTATTAAATGTTAGGACTGCCAAAATATTTTTAAGCTTTCTTTCTTTCATATCAGTGCACATTTTGCTGGGAAAGATTTATCCACTTAAATAATGAAAATGTGCTATTAACATATCTTTATATGCTTTTATTAATTTTAAACAAACTAATTTCAGAAGTACTAGATATTTACAGTATTCCTTGAAATAACTAAAAATAAAGACTATAACAATCCTAAAAACAAACCCATTAAGTCTCAATACATAAAGATATTACAGAAGATTTTTTAAGATTCCTTACAAAGCATATTATTAGCCTCTTCGCTAATGTTCGAAAGCAAATTCAATCTTTTAGTTTTTAATTGCGTTATTTGCCTTAAAGGTGAAGCAATTTTTTTTAATACTGCTGAACTAAGCTTTAACTTTAACTGCTTTGTAGCAATGACAATAACTGTAATCTTAGCAGACTGAAAGCTATTCAAATAACTATTTTAAGTAATGTACATTTTGTTGCTTTGCTTCTACTAATTACCTTGGAATGGTTTCAAACTGTTGTCGAGTAATGTACACACTAAATTCCAGAAAACTGAATGGTATTGGTTTCAGAATGCTCTTCTGACCATTTGATGGAGTTCGCTTATACTCTTCAATGGTTACTTGTGGTGAAGCATGATGTGACGTCATTTTTGAAGCGCTTGCTGATGTTGAGGCGACAACTGGCTCATTTATATGATGTGCGTTCACTTTAAGAATTGATTTCAATTGTTTCTCTTCGTTTATTTTTTGTAGTTTTAGTTGTCTTTGTTTTATTAAATGATCCATTATTATCATTTGTTGTTGCTGCATGCGACTCATTACCAATCGATACCGTTCCTCCATGTCATCAATGTTTTCTCTTACTAGCTTTTCTACTTCAAACATACTCTGGTGTATCTTCAATATAAAAATAATGTACATTAGATTTGTTTATAATAAAATTTAATTGCAATTTTACTATATTTATATTGCTAGTTATTTCTTCAATTTCTGGTTTTAATTTTTCATTACGCAAACTAATTGCTATAAAATCCTCCAGCAATGCCACTTTTTCTAAACAGTCATCAATTGTATGCTCCAATGCACTCATTTTGTTAATCTTTTTTAGGTGTTTTAATAGGAAAAATAATATAATTAATTAAATTGCTAAAATTTAAACAAAATGTTTGGTTATATCTTTTTGCGCCTGAAATGACAATCGCCAGTAACTTTTTGACATTTACAAGTGACATTGACATTTTAAACGTCATACAAGTTGACAATGTCTAATAGGTTGGTTTCAATGGTGAAAGCAGAAGCAAATAAAGTGTAGTAAATTATGCAAGGTTACTTGAATTGGTTTTTGTCTTCGGTACGTATGCTTTGTAACATAAGCGTACAATGTTAATTTTTTTATTAACGACTTAATATAATATTATTGATAAAAATTTATTGTTGTTTAATAACGGAAAGTTGTATATTGTGTATTGAGATATATTCGTTAACTCCATAAGATGGTTAAAATTAATGTGTATACGTTTTTGTAAAATTAGAATGTTACCGAGCAACATAATATCGAGCCATGATAACAGAACTGTTCTACGAGTTATTCGTAGTAACTTTGAATAACACTGTGTATACACTAGTGTGCTCCACCAGTAAATTTTCGAGTAAAAGAGAGCATCAGAGAGAGAGATAGAGCAATATCCCTGTCGAAATTTAAAAATGCTATACAGACTTTATTCGTACATTTTATTTTAAGAAAAATTTATGTTGATGTGTGAATCAGCTGTTTTGCTTTGAATTTTTAAATTTCTCCAGACTTTACACAACTTTGTTCCATGAAAATCTATGTAAAGAGCGTAATTTGGCACTTTGTGTTATACTCTCAGTTTGTACTTTACTTGTGTTTTACTTGGACCAACATCAGCTGATTCCTATTATTGTTGCCATTTTCTAGCCTTTATGTAAAACAAAATATTTAGAGTTATACTCAATTATTTTGGGGTTTTAATTTTATGACTTTGTCTAGCAAAATATAACAATGGTTATTGGTAATTTTATCACTTAACCAATATTAACGAGATACATCTAAATACCTTTAATGTATAATATTAAACGAATATGATTTTTTAATGTAATTAAAATAACAAATTTTTCTTACCATTTAATACTGCAAAGATTAAAGTTAGTTATAACTAAGTTTTATACTGCTTGATAATAATATTGTACACATATTTTTAGTATTTATTTTAAGAAAAATGCTTTAGGGTATTAGTTGTTTTTAGGTATTAATACTACTATACAGCAACGTTAATCATTATTTCTACATCATATATTAAAACATTTCTCAAATCATATTTATGACACATCTCTTAGTAAATTAAAGTCTTATGTTTTTCAGCTACTTAACAATAATATATATAAAATAAAAATTTGATTTTCATGTGATAATTTTATTTGCATAAAATTTATAGAGTTCTTATTGAACACAACTTCTACCACTGAACAATAATTCATCAATTTAATTCACCATACCATTTATAACTTTTTGACATTCGGCCATGTTGTCTTTCTTTCTGTTTTTTGAAGTGAAGTAGCCAACATGGGTTTCGCAAATCTTTGGTACTCGCATCCAAGAAAATACGGCCAAGGTTCCAGATGCTGGTATGTAAAAAAAGTGCATAAAATTTGGAATATTTTAGTGTATTAAATTTATCAAAAGTGTAACTGCAAAATGAAAATTAAATTTATTTAAATTGAGGTTATGGTGCGCAGCGTGGGGCTCCGCTGAATTTGTGCAAGAAGTGTTCATTAATTTATGGAATGTACTGACGTCATTTGTTTATACATATGTGTTATATTCATATGCCAGCAGTTGAGTACGGCAAATGTGGTTATTTTATGCATTTACCTTAATTAATGTTGGCAAAAGTAAATGTCCAATATTTGCTTATTGTTGCGCCTTCACTCAAAATTTTTGCTTAGACGCTAAAGCAAATGAACAACATTTAATAATTAATATATCATAAATATACATACAAATTTACTATTTAGATATTATTTTACTTTACTTATATTAAAAAGTTTTTCATTTTAGCCGCGCCTGTTCTAACCGTCATGGTCTTATCCGGAAATATGGCTTGAACATTTGCCGTCAATGCTTCAGAGAATACGCCAATGATATTGGTTTCAAGAAGGTATTTAATAAATTATTTGTGTTCGAACATAAAATACAGTTTGTTTTTCATTACAGCTGGATTAATTTGCAACTGACCACAAAACAATAGTTTAAATGTTCGCAGCGATGTAAATATATATGTTGCTGCAACTATAATTTAAAAAAAATCACAATTATCACCTGCAGATTAAATACTAGAAAGTATACAAATATTTTAACATTCGCACTACTTATGAAGTGGGAAGGAAACTGTATATTATTTACCACCTACAGGTGATAATAAATTTTAATTACATAAAATATGTCATATAGTTTTTATTTCATAAATTGTTTTTGTCTCAATTGTTCTATTGTTAATAAATCAAATACGTGCTAAGAGCTTGCAACGATACCCGAATTTCGTAGTTATACGTGTGATAAACTATTAAAACCCAATAGAATTTATAGTTGAAGTGAATAAATGAATTATGCTGAGCATCGACAGTTTTCAATAGATTTTCTACTATCTATTTTAAAATGCTTAAGAAAATATTTTATCTGTTTTATACGCCAAAATATGTATCAATGTTTGAATTTGTTTCATTATTATATATAAAATTATTGAGCTATTTTTAAAGTAAACATTTTGTAGGCACGTATGGCGTTATACTTTTAGATAGCATTAGAGAAAAATATAAAGTATTTTGTTTCGTACAGTTGAATTAGTTATTGATTTAATATTTGTTATTGTCTTAAATATTTCAATGCATTGCATTTATTTTTAATATAGGCCAATATTTTCTTTAATCAAATAAATTTTAGAAACAAAAATATGCCGTCTTAAATGCTATTAGAACCTAATAGTTAAGTCCTACTAGTGCCTCTACTTATGGCATCCTATCGTGTAACTTTGCCAATGACAATCAGTAGTTATAGCATTTTTTGACAGTTTTGTTGTAATATCATAGCTGGAGTTAAATAGCCTTTTAAATATGATGTATCGATCCTTAGGTCGGTAGTGATCTTTCGATATAATGTGTATTCCAATATACATATGTTATATTAAGTGATACAGACAACAAAATGGTTGAGGCTTGAATTGTAAAATAAATTAGTTCAGAACTTATAGGTACGTTTACTGGCATTACATTTCATTCTGTCATTACTGAACTCTTATAATTTACGATTGGGCAGGAATTTTATTATAACTACTTTACAATTAGTTTGGAAGTACTTTTTATCAGCAGGACAGATTTGAGGTTGCTAACTAATTACCAACTTAGTCTAACTTGCGTTACCAACTAAACAAAATGGGATTGTCTAATATGATAGCATATAGTATCTCTCCGGAAGACGATGAGATTTATTGTTATATTCTGTATGAATGCTCGATTGTGCTCTAATCTAAGAGTTGGGTGTTAGGGTCTGATTCTGATTGCGTTCTTACTATGTGACAAAGGACTTATTACGTTATGTTAAATAAAAATGATTGTTTAGGTAGGAACATACTATTTTATGAGCCTAATATATTATAATTATAATAAAGAAAAACTGGCTTGTTACTACGTACACAGATATGAGGCTCTAAGTTTTAAAACCAAACTGTTTAGTTGATAAGAGTTTTTTTGGGATATCAGCCAATGTTAATTATATCATAAACTTCTTTACGAGGGACACAGGTGTACAAGCGGTCTCCAGGTAAAACATGTCGAATGCCCACCCGTGAGCACGCGGGCCGGTAATGTTGTTACGGAGTGACCCACCGGTGGGGCGTGCGGTCTTTAAAGTGTTAACACAATATCAGTTTAAGAGAGGCGAACTCAGCTGCCAGCTTAAAATAACATACTTTGAAACAGGAAAACTGGGGACTAGGAGATGTCCGGCGTTTGTGAGAGGTTCAATTTCACTATATCAAAATTAGAACCTTACTTATATATGTATGTACTATATTAGAAGTAGTGGGAGGAAAACATACTAAATCAATATATTTACTATGAAATGACATTCTCATTGACACTACACATAAAACACGTATAAAATATATTGAAACTAGTTCCATTTTACCCCGAAAGGACAAACACGTATCACGAACTTGTTTTTCAGGCACCGATCGCAGAAATACACAAGTGCACTGCCATAACTTCACAACCAGTTCACTTGGTTACAATCTGCGCGGCCAGTCGGAAGTAAGTGGAGAAATAATTACATAAATTCATAGTGTGGGCAAAAATTAATAAATATAAAAAAGTTTAATATAAATATACAAAGAGCGGACAACTAATAAAACACGAAATTCAGCAATTTATTTAGTGGAATAAAAATCCGTACGTTTAGCGCCTTCAAGGCATTTCTTTTGAAAATTGAAAGTTGTGAAGTCCCCAAAAACACTCCTTCACATTTCTAACCCCGCGTAATCAGAGTCTCAGCAAAGAAAGATCGCAATTTACGTATGTTATGAGAAATACTGTTACTTCCTCGAAACTAAGCGGTCTAGAGCCAAAAAACTGTATGAAGTCATATTGAAATAAAAGCAAAAACAAAAATATTGGCGAACAGCGAGCTTGAATTTACTTTCACGTCAGCTGAAGATCATTCGAAGCCAACCAATGAACTCACAACAGTTGTAAGCTTGGCTACTGCAATTGGCATTGACTGCACATATTATAGATGGAGCGCTGCTGAGAGTGAAGTTGAAGCCAAAGCTGCAGCTGGAGCCGGAGCCGGAGCACTACATCATCTGTTATCTGTTGTTGCTTTGCCAATTTGGTGCATAATATTATTAACTTTTACTATGAAGTTTATGTTATTTTATTTTGTTTTTTTATTATCTTTGCTTTGTTATTGTTGGCTTTTGTCTGCTGGGAAACTAGTCCACAAGTTGAGTTGGTCAGTGGTTTTTGAAAATCGTAAACTCGTTTCAATACACGATTTACATTTTGACGTGTTGTGTGTGGAGGTACATTAATTAGCCACTGAGTAGTATTAACAATATAAAATGATTGATGACAATATTTTTAGCAAACTCTATAGCAAATTTTAAAAAACATAATAAAAACCGAGCAGTATCATTGCGCCCCTTGTTTCAATTTTGAAAAGTTTTCAGAGAATACAATGAATATAATCTATTAGAATGATTTATTTGTTTAAGTGGTTAACCGCCTTGAACTATATAGGCACTACTGTTAATAAACTGCACAGAGATTTTTTTAAAGGATTGAAAGTGTTAGATTAAATGATTATTTTTTACGTCTCTCTTACACTCTACTATAATCATTATAAGCGTTTCATTAACTACAACAACCTCTCTGCTTTAGCAGAAGCACAAAAATGTTTTTAAAAAGACGAATAACATAATGAATCATGCGTACGTCATAAATGTAAACTATATAAAAAGAGATAATGTATATGTAAATGTGGTTATATATAGATATTGTGCTTGTAGACTGTTCCCCTGATATTGTAGAAATCTATTTGGTTCGCTGTGCTTGCGAATGCTGTAATTCCGATACAGTTGTGAGTACTTTGCACAACTGTATCGTCATAGATAAGAGACCTTGTGTTGCAGATCGGGTCGCTCATAATATCTCAAATATAAATAGATTTTTAATGGCTCTAATGTAAACTTACATAAATAATATAAGCTCACGTATGTTTTTTAGTTAAAGACTGATGCTTTCTTCTATAATCCCAGCCGATTTTGGGATTTCGGATATGATCTAATGTTAGCATCCATAAATTATTTAAGCTCCGCGACATGTCTTGGAATCTCTTATAGAAATAAAATTGGTCTAAATTGGACAGACCATTTAAATAATAAATATTAGTAAGCGTATGCCAACAAAAAAAGTGACAGGGAGTAAAAAGTGTGTGGGTCTGTTGATCGGGTACCCATTGAATTGTTGGACTTAATTATAAATGGAAATTGGTCATTCGTATGTGATTTCAAACCAATTAGGAAAGGACGTAGAGCAGAAATGCTGTAAAGTAGTGGATATTAAAATTATAGGTATGTAATACTTATAATAAAGTGGTTAAAAGCTCTAAGCAGTATCAGGTTTAGAGGAATTATATATCTTCTATAAGTTTAACAGATGAATTATATATTTATTTTTTAATTGTTTGTAGAAGCAGCAAGTTCGGGTTGAATTAAAAGATGTTATTGTAGAAAAATCTAATAATGTTAACATAAAATTGGAAATATATATGAGTACAAAAAGTGACTGTTCATAGAATGATTTCTTTTAAAATAGATAGAATTTTTCATTTTGATAGTAATTTTATTAAAAAATTCACAAGTAATTTTTACTTTCAAAACTTTTCAACCAAACTGTGTTTTCAAATTTGCTCTTCTGTTTATGCAATGTACTGGGTCAGATAATGATAACAGTGGTTAAACTATACCAATTGCTTTCATATCCGGTGTATGCTTTGGGTCTAGTCTCCAGTGACGTAGTTCAATAATAATCTTCTGTATGAAGTATTGAGATTTTATGTTAATATTGAGGGGTTTGAGGAATGAATTTTAGCTCCATTGTTTAAGATTTGTCAAAGCTAAGTGACCGAGAGTATACATGCGATAACGCTCCTTTGCACACTGCCATACTAATTCGTGAATTTTTGACTAAGAATAATACGAATACTACTGAGCAAACACTGAATTCTCTTGATTTGACTACTTGTGATTTTGTTCTGTTTGAACGAGTTTAGAAACTTCTCTGGGGAAAGCGTTTCAGCAGTCAATAAGAAATAATAAAAAAATCGAAGACGGCTTTTATAGTACAAAAGTTCGAGCTTTGGATAAACGCGTTTCGGTCAATAGAGGGTACTTCGACGAAGTTAATATCGATTATAACTTCTCTTTTAAACTTTTTAAATAAATTCTAGAAAGGAATTACCATCTTTGATTAAAGTGGTATAGGTATATATACTGATTAATATTATTCAATTCAAGAGCTTTTCAATTCTTAGGCTGTTAGCTTGTTTAGTTATTCCTTATCTCTATCCATTATGTTTTCACTGAAATTCAAGCTGAAAAATAGTATAAACTTAATATGTCGGAAACATATTGAGGTTCTCATTCTTAGTGTCAAGTTATCAACACTTCTTGAAAAGGTGGGATTTATTCATTGTTAGATATTCTAGTTTTTATTTTTTTTATTAAAAACTAAAGCAAACTCTAAAAAGAAAATAAACGAAGAATTATCAATTATTGTGAAAATTTTGGCTTGAGCTGCAAAGTTTATTGTTTTGTTTCAAAACTTGAAAGATTTGGATATGGTCATTAAACGCAGCCGCGTGAAATTGAGATAAGTGCGAATTGCGGCTCATAGCGCACACCTGAAGTCTATCTATCTGTGCACTCTTGGCCAGAAGCGATGAGAAGAGCGTGCATGAGCTGGTATCAAGTCAGTAAACTATGCCACAAAGCGAGTTTGCGAATTTATTTTGAATTTTTCAAATATTTTTGTTTTTGGGACTTGCTCGCATCGCAGCTGACTTGGCTTAAGACAAAATCCATCGAGTTCAGTTGTTTACAAATCGTCAACCGAACTACTGCGCATGCACGGCCAAGTGAACGCGCGAATAGTGTAGCGTTTTTGCTCTGAAATAGCAGAGTCCGTCAGATATTTTAGAGTTTGATTGGAAAATGATTAAATAAAAAAAAAAAAAATATATATATATGAAAAAATTATCATTAAGCGAAATTGGTTCGAACTTTTGAGAGTTGTTAATTTGTGTAAGGTCAGTGCGACCTTAAGACACTGCAGCGTTAGATACAAATCCATGTTACACTAAACAATCACAAATTTAATTAAATTAAATAATTTATATATAACAAAAAATATTTAATTTATAAATGCAAATCAAGATTAAAAGTGCAGATATAATTAATTGACAAACAAAAAAATATAAACGAATTTGCAGAAATGAAAGTACAGCAATTGCTGTCCACCGCCAATGTTTTTATTGTTGTTTTTATAGTTTATGCAACAGCTTCAGCTTCAGCGGTTGAGAGCGATGAAGACCGGCAAGTTTTGCAATTTGGCGCAAAATCTGTACCGCAGGAAGGTGTTTTGAGTCCTGCACAAAATAAAAAAACCAAATCTTCCTCAACGAACAGAAATGGCCGCCGCTACGAGGCTTCACGTGACAAAGCAACTCTGCAAAATGTTGCATCATACGAGGTTCCTGCTGTAAACAAAAGCATGACTGCCCGTAAAAGTCAGCGGCAACGATCACGCGATTCTCCAACTGCAACTAATTTCCATACACCACAAACTGCAGATACTCTGCTATTTGGACAAATACCAAACAAACCGTTGATTAACGACGATGGTGCTCCCTCAACTGCTGCTGCTGCTGTATCGGCCAGTAAGAAACCACAGAGCCAGCGGGAACGCGGTTCAAGTCGTGCACGTGAAAAAATTTCAAACAGTAGAATAACTGGCAAATCTGCTTATGAAGCTCAAAGTTCCAAATCTAAGAAATTGATCCCCAAAGTAGCAACTGCATCTTCGACATCAACGTCAACCTCATCGCCGACGTCTACAACTATAACTACAACAACAAGTAAGTATTATATATGTGTCTAATTATTAAGTACCAGAGGAGATAAAATCGCATAATTTTTTTTAATTTTTGTATTTCGAAATATTGGTTTTTATAAGATGTATGCGTCTGAATTTATAATTAACTATGAAGAAGATTTATCGAGGAAGGAGGAATATGAAAGAGTAGAGAGGTTTAACTTAAAATTTGCAAATATTATCTCTTTAGGAATATTGCAAGTGATCTGTAATGGCTTGAAGTTACGAAATGGTGACAAACGATTTATTAGAAGTCTATAGATAACGAAAAGGATTGATATGTTTTTCATCAATCTCTGTCCGTTCTGATAGCATGTTACGTGAGCTAGAGGTATCGATACAAAGGCTTTAGACTTAAATTTCACAAAAGTCTAGTCTAAAAAACAACTTTTAGAGTATGGTAGCCCTGTTTAAAAAATAGAGCTTCAAACACTGCTTTAATTCGCAAAAATTCCAAGAACAAAATTTATATAGAGTCTTAACTCTATCTGATGTCGTTAGAGACCAATAGGGCTATGTCTGGGTAGCGGTTAGCCAATTTTACTTAATAATTTCAGTCTTTGGGTTAATATGCTTTTATCAATAAGTCTGTAACTTTAATATTTTAGTGTTTTCGCAGAGTGTTATGATATTGGTTCATTGATTGCACTGACGGTTCAGCAGATATCTTTCCACTGTCCATAGTTAGCGTTTTTTCTCAGTTTCACTACCATATTCCCCACAAGAAACCTTAATGTGTGAAAGGAATATTAAAAAGAAGTGAAAGGAAGAGACGTGAAGAGTAAAAACTAAATCCATTCCATTGAATTTAGATAGAATTTCTCTCTGTAAAACTGTTAAAAAAGATGCTTTCCCGAAAACCTGTTTTCCTGGAGGCCAAGACTGGGCATAGAAAATGCTTAATTGTTTCTTTTTCCTGTCCCTTTCCACAATGTGGTGTTATGATGTGATGTGGTCTATGAAATATTGTGTGTCTTTTGTAGTTATCAAGGTTACTGCAATTGTTGTTCTATATATAAGATCTTTGAAATATCTATTGTTCAACGCAATAAATAAACTGAAAACTGTAGAGTTTCTGCTGAAGTTTGTAACCTTTTTCGATTTGGTTAAGTAGTGAGATATGTCTCTATATAAATCATACGTTTAACCCCGAAAGCAAGATGAAGTTGTTGCGTGTCAAAGTTAACTTCTGACATTATCTTGATCAATCTTACCTTAAGTTAAGCCCAAAATTTAATCTTTTTACAAAGGTTTAAATAATTGTTTTAAAAATAGTTTCAGCATTCAGTGTCATATAGAAACTCTATTTCAACACCTGCTAAATTATAATAAAAATCTCATTACAGAGCTTTTCGGTACAGGTTAGATTAAATTAATTTTTCTTTAAGCTAAAGAACATACTATATATTTAACATTATAAAGTAAGGTAATTTAGAATATATACTTGTAAAAGAATACGTATATATTTTTAATGTTTATGTTTCCTTGAAATAATTTATACGTTCTTATTCTCATGTTAAGACGTAACATTCATACATCAGATACATGCACTCGTGAAACAAACTCAGAAACTTAATAAAGACCAGCCTGCCTTGACTACTATGCGTTTAGCTGAGATGCAAATCTAGTCATTTTTGACCTGAATTTAGGAATTCTTATGATTTAAGAAACACCTATGCAGATTCTCATTCTCATTCTCATAATTCTTACATAAACTGGTTCCCATGTATTTGCTGTGCAAGGTGCAAATTGTCATGCGCCGCAGAAGTAATTACAAATTACTTTGCTGCGATATTCAAAGTTGAACACGTAGTTGTGCTTTTGTATCTCAACGAATTTCAGATACGATGATAAGTCCAAATAATAATAATGTTTTCGCATAGTAAAGCATTTCGTATAGTTAGGCGTTCAATAATAGCAATGTTCTTAGTCTTATATGTGCTTGACCGTATAATCAGGTTTAACAAATTGATTGCCTTTGCGATTGATTAATTTTGGTTTAGAATTGTATTGATATTGGCAGTATGGCTTTGTGAATGTGAATGACATTGAACTAGCTTGGTGTCCTAAATGGCTTAGTTGCGAATTTCAAAAAAAAATTACTAAGAATTAATTCTTTGTACAAGAATTTTAAGTTTAAATAAAAGCTTGGTACTCTCCACAAAAGGAATTGTATTCCAATATTTTCCATACTTGTAAGAAGATCTATGACTGCTTATGTCTAAGATTGGAAATAAATATTGAACGTATCAACTGTGAAATAGAATAAAAACTGTAAATATTATCACTTATGGTATATTAACAGTCATTTTCATGAAAATCTTTTAAAAATCCTTATTTAGAAATCTGAATACTTAAAAGTATACTAGACTAGAAGTTTATTAGAAGAAAGTGTATTAAGCAGTTGGTTGGCATCATAAAGAGTAAAGGTTGTACAGTTGTAGTTTATTGACAGAGACCCATAAAGCAATTAAGTTAAAGTTTAAACCTAAACCAGGTTGGTCAATTTTCAATATAAATCCATAATAAAAAAATTTAAAATTCTAGAGACCTTGTTCTAGAGAGTTTCTGTGATACGTGTATCTTGAGTCAAAAACTATCTGTCTTACTTTAGCTAATTTATTTTCTTTACGAACGTTGTGAAAGTTTTCATATCAGTTTCTTATAGTATCTCAGAATTCCCGAAGAAGAGTTCTTCAAGAATTATATCTTTTTACCCAAGTTGTACATCTATACACTAGGTTCTTCTTCATAATTCTCTTGGCAGAGACCACAAAGATAGTCAATTGTAATGCATATCCCTGTGTATGTGTGGCTTTTACTTACTTACTTACTTACTTAGTTGGCCATAACAACCCGTTACTGAGTTTCGGCTTGACACAGCATGTCTCCCCGTAACGCCTCTGTTACGTGAGCGCCTTCTCTAGTCTCATACATCAAGTTCAGATAGTGCTCCCTCAACTTGATCACTGCACCGAAGAAACGGTCTACCGCCATCTTCTTCCTCCAACTACTGCTTCAAACACCTTTTTCGCTGGAGCATCTTCATCCATTCACCCGACATGCCCAAGCCAGCGAAGCCGCTGGATGTGTGGCTTTTAGGCAACGAAAATTACAAGATAATTCTGAAGAGAACCGTACTCTTCAAGGTAATTAGTTTTTTAGTTCTAGATGGGCTTATGAATGACCAGTGTGGGTTAGTATTAACACAGGTGATCTCATTCTGCCATCTAATTAGTTATTTCTAACTCTATTAGTGCTTATTTAATACATTGAAGAATTGAGTAGAATTGAATATTGGCTGGATATTGGATTGATGTTTTAGAAATTGATGTCATATCATTGTTTACTACACTTTATCGGCCAAATATAAAAATATTAAAAATATGATTTTTAATAGTAATAAATAATTATAATAAATAATTATAATAAATAATATTATAAAAAATAAAAATAAAATTAATTTTTAATGTTAAATATATTCTATGGGAGTCTTCTTTTGTTTTCTATGTGAATTTTTTTCTTATTTTTGTTGTTGTTGTTGATGTTGCTTTTATTGTTGTTGTAATGTATGTAAACGTGTATGCATAACTATGTATGTTAGTAAATATTTAAACCGCTAAAAATAAAAATAATTTACTTTTGTTGTTGTTGTTGTTGTATGAAATAATTGATGAAATTAAAAGTTTAATTTATCTAATTGATATTTAAAATGAATGTTATTAAGTCATAATAATGTGTTTAAAATCTGTGTAAAAAACTAAGCGACTTTAAAAATCCATCAGCTCTATAACTATTATTATTATATTGTATATATAATGAAATATGGAAATGATTGACAATTGCGTGTTTGAGGTGAATGTATCTAACAATTTACAATTTCCCACATCATTTTCGATGATTAGTCTTTTCTTTAGTTTGCATTGAGTTATTTCAGTTTGTGGTAATCAATTGAGTTTTATGGAGTAAAAATTTTAATTTTTCTCCTCCCCCTTCTACTCTTTCTTTATATTAGATTTTTTTAAAAAATTAACAAATTCAATGTGAATTAGAACGTGAAGTTTTCAATGCATTTTAATTTATGGAGAGTCACTACTCCACTTCACTTTTACACTTCGCCAGTAAAAAATTTAATTAAAAAGTGAAATAAATTATATATTAAAGGGTTTTTTCTTTTATTTAACATGTTTCAGTTTTATTTGACTTTTATTGTATTTTTGGCATAAAATGGTGTAAAAATTATTACGATTTTTTACTCGTTTTCATTGATGTTGCAAGTCTATTTTGTCAAATTATGACCAAACAAAGTGTTGCGATCAGTGGACTGTGCGTCACGATTTAAAATTAAATAAATTAACAATAAAAACAAAAAAAAAAATAAATAATATTAACAAGAGATAATATAAAACAAAACACTCTTTAAGGGACGTGTATAAAAGTAACCATTAATGCAGAAGATGGTAGAGTTTCGTGGCTTCACAATAATATAATAGTAAGTAAGTATAGTCTCTCATTTGTCTAGGTACTAAAACTAACTTTTTTCTCTCTCGCCTGATTACTGGAATGAAGTTTTCACAATGCTGTGGAAATCTTCTCCATTCATTCCTAAGCGGTGGTTTAGTGGCTTCAAGTCTTTAATTTGTCGTAATATATCTATCTATCAGTTTTTTCTTTGTTTAAAAATTTTTACAATAATTCATTTTAATAATAATAATGGAGTTAATAATGCAGTTAAAAGCAAAACAAATATACATACCATATGAAGTAAATAATTATAAACAAAACAGACTACCGAATAGGTCAAAAGATAAAGGCACGAGCTATACACGACAATATTCGTTTATTTCAATATTTAAAGTTTTTTTTTTAAATGTACTAAATTAAACTAAAGTAAATTAAATTAAAATTGTATATTAAAAGATCTTTAATGTATTTTATAAGAATAATTAAACATCAATAATTTTGATGATTAAACAATGTCAA